TTTTGATGGAACTAACCCCGCATTTGCGTTGCATTGAAAGAAAACCACGAAAATCTCAAACGGTTAGCCTGATCTTATGGGGATTCTAACTCATGATCCGTCTATCACTGAGGATATACGTCAGCACTGTGGTCGGGGCGAGTCGGGTGCGGAATTCAAATCAACCAGCCATTGCTGGGATACAAACTCGGTTCATCTCATTAGGAGGCGAGTGTTCTATCTTCTAAGCAATCCCAGCTTAGATCAAGCATCAGGACAAACTGGCATTGGTGGAGGAAGTTTTGATGGAGTAAACCCGCATTTGCGTTACATGAAAAGGAAAACCTACCTCGGTTAGCCAGAAGGCACGGAAATTTGAACCCATGAGCTGATGATATTTTACGTGAGCACTGTGGTGGGTGTGAGCCGGTATCAAAACCAGCTATCACTGGGATTTGTACCTTCATTGGGAGGCAAGCGCTATATCTCCTGATCCACTGCAGCTCTATCTCTCACACAAACTACATGAAATTAGTTTTAAACTATCGCTATATTACTTAGCGATGAATGAAATGCTAAAAAGGTTATTTGTTTGAAAATGCAGTGGAGAGAAAACTTTTTGTTTTTGAGGAAATCAATTTGATTCTGCAGGCTGTAAAAATACCAAAAACGGTGGCAACTTTTTTGCACCTACGTGGTGTAGTGAAACACCACAGAAAACTCTTGGTTTTTGGTGATTCACTATACCAAGAACCATGGTTTCTGGTATAGTCAAACACCAAAAATGTTCTTATACACTACTAAGTGTATAGTAGCTCCACTATTTTGGTATTCCGTAAAACTAACATTTATAATAACAACAAGAACTAATACACATGCCAGATAGTAGTTATTTTTAAGATACAATTTAAAGCAAAAACAGTTTGTTTAGGAAACATACACACACTAATTCTTAAAATATAATTCGTTTGTAAATCAAGCATACGCGTATCACAGAGAGAATATTAAAATGAATCCAAATTAGGCTTATCAGAGTAAATGGTGATAAATATTATAAAACTATATATTACAATTGGTTGATATTTAAAAATTAAAATATAATTTGCTTTATTACACAACTATACACAACGGAAAACATGCTTACATTTTGTAATGGGGAACATTTATTTAGGTAGATGTATAGCACTGGCAAAATAACAACAAATTTACTCTATTCCGTGTTCGATTGTAAACAATTTACTGATAATATCTAAAACACGCCACAATTGGCGTATTTGAATTAACTATATAACTTATTTGAATTAGCTAGATAGTTTTGGATTAATTACATAACTTAATTGAATTAACTATATAGTTTTGGATTAACTATATAGTTTTGGATTAACTATATAGTTTTGGATTAACCATATAGTTTTTAGATTAACTATATAGTTTTGGATTAACTATATAATACAGTTTACAAATGTTTTGAATGCCTGTGATCTTGGGGTCAGCATCTATCTATATTGGTGTTAAGATTTAACTACACCTGTTGAAGTATACATAAACGCTAGATGTGGTGTTAACTTAAATCAAATTTTTTTCTTCACACATTATTTTAGGGTATTTAATCAACCAGAATTTTATCGCACCATTTAGGCTCACCTAATGAAGCCACTTGTTCCTTGCAGCTGGGTACATATTACAGCCGATAATGCTAATCTGGTCATGACCAACAGATAAGGCCGATAAGGCCATGACCAACAGAAGAGGGGTTCCAGTCCCAGCGGTCATTCTGGACTATTAGAATACGATGCTCTCATTCACGTACAAATGGCAGCACCATAAAGCTGACTAACACAAAAAAGTCTAATATTACTCCTTTCTTATGTTGGGGAAAACAACCAGATAAACTAATTGAACCGCATTTCAAGGTTCATTTGATAAAACGCTACTCAACCACTATCTAACTTCAATGCCCATTATCTAGCAATAAGCCTAGCTCCAATGTCCAGTTAAATTTACTTATTACGGTTTTGAAACCAATCTAGTTCTACATGGTTAAAATTAGAAAGAAAATTCTAACAGTGAACTATTGATTGTTCGGTAAAATCTTCTTTTTTCTAACTTGAATAATCATTTGGATTCAACTATGTATAATATACTTTTTTTTAATTTAAAGAAGACTTTTACAAAAATTGAAAGTTAGTTTTATCATGCTTAGAACATGAGAATATAGAGTTGCCGAAAACTTCAACATTAGGAGAAAACAAACTTAAGGAATAAATTTTAAGTGAAGCGTGATTTTAAGCCTGTTTAAGTAGTGGAAAAAAGTTTATAGCGATTAAAGAAAATTAATGAAGTTTTCGATTTCCCCAAACTGCCTTTTTTACGATAATTACATCATATAACACGTTCAAATCTCAATACCTGTCAAGAACGGGTAGCCTTATCTACTTCGACAATAACTTCAACGATATTTTAACTTTAAGCACTGAATATTGATGTTGTTATCGCCAAGGAATCGAAACAAAAAGTCTTAGGGCAAACTTTTGCTTGTCAACAAGATTAAATTATAGTTTAAACACTCATTAAAACTAATCTTTAGTGAAAAAGATCAAAATAAAAAATAAAAAAAACCTTTAGATATAAAAATGTTATTATGAGTATCCCAAATCGGTATTTTTATTTTCGTATTTTTCTCAAATGGCATAATGAGAACATGGTATTTGATAAATATATATAATTTTGTATTTTTCTCAAATCCATGCATATTAAAAAAAAATTTATTCCTTAAAATATTTTTCTTCAATATACCTTATAAATATACAACTGAAATTTAGATTCAATAAACACCTGAAATTTAAGTATTCCGTCTTAAAACTGTAATAATATTTGAATCTAAAATGCTTATGCAGTAATTTTAACAGAAACTTCAACAGTATTTAAAAAACAACGTGCATTAGTTACATGCATTTTTAATAATGTCATTTAAACACTTACGTCAAAATTTATGGAAATGCATTCGTCAAATTGACAAAAGATTTTATCATGAAAAAATCTTTATCTGATACCGGCAATCATGACAAAAATTTTATACTGTACTATAGTTTTAAAAGAAGACTTATGAGCATAACTCAGAACATCGGAAAAACGATTAAGGTTGAATGTCAGTGATAAATGAACACAACATTCAAATTAAATTTTTACTTCATAAGAAAGAACCAAATACATGCGCCTCTATTCAACTCTTCAGTTCAGTTAAAAACCGGTAAAATAATTGTTAATTTTTTTTTAACTTATAAGTTGAAAAAGAACCATTAAACTCAACAATTTTTAAAAATAGGAAAAGAAACTAATTTCAACAATAATTTTATATGTGTATATTTTTTATATAGTCTACACTCAAAAGTGAATTTATTAAATCTGTAGTAAATGTTAACAAAAAGTCGAATTCGTACACTTTATTTAAACTTGTTTTAAAAGTTTTTTTTTTCTATGTTGTAATTTCAGTCTCATTGTGAAAGAATTCTAAGTTAAATTATAGAAGTTTATAGGAGTGTTAATATTTGAAGAATATCCAAACAAGAAGTAAATTTATTTTTTTAAAAAAAAGCTTTTAATTAAAAACTTAGAATTTTTTATTGACTGACTAAGTATACGTTATGATAATGTATGGAATAGCATATCAATTAAATGGCCTTCGCAGTTTTGTTGAAGCATGTATTAATCTTTTTGCTGAAAATGTTTGTGGACATTTGGCTTAAATATGAATGAATTCTGCTGATACAGTGCTCAATTTCCTCTCTAAAGGTATGGAGGTTTATAGGCATATTGGAATCACTAAAAAAAGAACTACATTTTTTTTTATTTCATGATCTTGGCGAATAATATCGATCCTAAAAACAGGAAATTACATTCATGAGAGTGGCTTAACATGTATCGCTCCAGTTTTAATAACCCTGAACTACCAGCTGTCTTTTTAATTTTTTTTGCAAAAATGCTTCAAAATTCAAAACTTGCGTGAATTTTGGAAACTCTTTATTTAAAATACTTCAGTTTCAATTTCGTTTGCACGTATATATTTTCATACTAAAATTACGGTAAAATAACCAACATCTGTAACCGTAAAGTTAACGGTAAAGAAAATTTTTACCTTTATGGTTTTTAACTTATTTACCGCTAGTAGGGACCAGGAATTCAAAAGTATACAATTTTTTAACCATTTTCAACTAGCATGTTCTTAAAACCGTAAAAATGAAGTTTAATTGGACATCAGAGCTAGGTTTTCCGTTAGGTAATGGGCATTTGAGTTAGGTTCTGGTAGAGTTGTGTTTTATCGAATGAACCATGGAATGTGATTTAAATAGTTTATCTTGTTGTTTCACCTACCGCAAGAAATAGGAAATATTAGAATTTTTTGTATTAAGCAGCTTTATAGTGTTCCCTTCTATATCGTATGAGAGTATTGCATTCTAATAGTCCAGGGTCAAAATTTGGGGACTGCAGGTCTTTGGAAACTCTTTGTGAGCTGAAGGGAAAGGAGGAAATATTGTGATGCCAATGCTAGGACTCGAACCCCTGTTTTCCAGGTCATGAAAATGACAGATTAGCCCCCTTCTCTATAATTTGTATCCAGCTACAAGAAACTAAATGACTTCATTAGGTGGGCCGGTTGGTGCAATAAAATTATTATTGTTTAACAGTATTAGATGAATGCGGTTAATTAACGGTTTTTCTCATAATTAACAGTTTGAATACGATCTTATTTATGGTAATTTGACTGTTTTGTTTCAATATGGTAAAATAACAATTTAATAAATTATTATTTAACCATTTTTTCCGTAAAAATGCTAACAATGTAAACATTTTAAATTCAGTTGTATTCATTTCTATTAAAACATTTTCAATTTAAGTGGTTATATTTATATGCTTTATATTACTTAAAGGATATAAAATTAATAAGTTATCATTGCATTATTAAGCGCTAGATATAAATTGATATACTTATTCTTAAGCATATTTCTTTTTTCTTAATTTAGGGCCCGTTTTCGTAATCATCGCACAATCTTTAATTCTCCTCATCCCAGACTTATGCATATTAAGCTGGGTAAGAAGAAAGGACGGCGAAGAGCTAGTCATACCAGCCTAGAAGTCCCAGGATCTAGACAACTAAGTATCTGTTCCCAACTCTCACCTCTGCAGTCCCGTAGAGGTAAGGATTGTTAACCATAAAAACTGCAATTTATGTTATATCTTCTTATTTTTCGTAAATAAGTTGCTTCATCCTCTAAATAAATTTCTCAAATGAAGGACAAAATAGTGTTAAACCACACTTGAGGGACGTTTTTACTTCAAACTGTTTCTTAGTACTTTTTAAGGATAAATACTTTAGAAAATTTCACAACATCCACTAGATTGCAGCACAACACACAAAAGTATCTTATTGCTGGTGTTTTTCAACAAAAACGCTTTTCCTGAACACTTTGAAAAATGCGGCAAAGAAGTCAACAAAAAAGTTACATAAAATATTGTTCATGAAATAAATTTCATATTATAACAATATATGATTGCTTCGTTTAAATATAATCAGATATATTGGTTTAATTTCAAGCAATAAATATATTATATATATATATATATATAAATTACAATACTTTAGAAGAAGTTGAAGGAGCTGGCTTAACACCAGTATATTTAATGAAAAGCTTAGACGAATGATTCGTGCAACATAAATTAAGAAATTTGATTTATCCTTGGAAAATGCTGTTATGTGTTAAGCATCTGAATTCTACTCAGTAATATCTTAAAATAGATTATTGCTTACACAGGTCTGAATAAATGTTGAAATTGAACAATTTGAATTATCAGTTAAAACTTAGCTTTGAAAAATAGGTAAAATGTTTTTATCAAATTGAACATACAACAACATTAAACTACCACATGTCACAAAAATGGATTAGATATAGTTGTTTGCTTTTAAAATAATCTTAAAGTATTTTAGGAGAGCTCTTATGAATTTATAAATGCATGTATGCATACAGTGGCGCTCACGTACTTAAAGACCGTGTTTTCAAAATAAATGCGTCATTATATTGGATCATTATATTATGTTTCGATCAAGATATCTATAATGACGAATTCTACCTTAGTTGAACTTCAATCCTCAAATAATGCATTCGTGTTCACAAGTGTTTCATAAAAGTTTATTTAAAAAATATATTTTGTTAAGTTTCTTATACTTAAGGACAGTTTGTCTAATCATGAGTTATTGAATGATTACAATCAATTTATAGATCAATGTAAGTGTAATTTACTACATTATCTTTGTTTGAAACTTTAAAACATTATATTAATATTTTTTAAAAATTTTTTAGTGCAAAATTCAACATTATTATGAGTAAAGGTAAAAATGTTAGCAATGAACAGAGATGTCGAATAGATATTCTGAAAAAAGAAGGTTTAAGCATTAGAGAAATTGGTAGGCGGTTAAAATTATCAAAAACAGCAGTTTTCCAAGCATTGAAATCTATTCTAGTGACCAAAAGTATTGAAAAAGCATCCCAAAAACCACGTCCTCGCAAAACTACCGAGCGAGAAGATCGAATTATTCATCGAATTTCTGAGGCTGATCGTCAAAAAACCGCCCCGGACATCAGAAAAGAATTCGCTGAATTAACAGGCAAGCACGTAATCAATAATACCATCAAACGGCGTTTAAATCAGTTTCGGCTTATGGGTCGCGTATGTAGGAAAAAACCGTTGATGTCAAAGAAGAATATAGCAGCTCGATTAGCTTTTGCAAAAAGACACCGAAACTGGACATCGGCTGACTGGAATCGAGTTATATTTACAGACGAATCGAAGTTCAACAGAATGGGCTCAGATGGCAATAGT